CCTGGAATTGGGGCAATTCTTTATATGATGCCCAAATCCTCCACATCCAAAGCAAGCTCCACCCCTGGTTGGACAAGGCCCGTTTCCATGTCGACCTCCACAAATCCTACACGGACCATTCCCAATCCGGATTGGCTTTCCAATATTCCTTTTAACTGGTGGAGTAAAATGCCTATTATCCACCATCGGCCTCTTTCCCGGATTACGGTTATTCCAACCCTGGACAAACTTCGATCCAGATGCGGCGGCTCTATCCATCTGATCCCGCTCAAGAATCTGGGCCCTATCAAATATCTGCTCATACGTTCCCAGATTTACTAGTAACAACTGCCTACGGATGTCAGCTCTCAATCCATCCAAAAATCTCCACGCCTTATCCTCAGGATGTTCTACCATTCTTGACGCGAACTTAGACAATCTCGCGAATTCCGTCTCATATTGATCTACTGTCATTTGGCCCTGGCGGAGTCTCATAAATTCCGCGAGTTTTCTTTCCCTAGCACTGGCTGAAAAATATTTCTCATAGAAATTCTCAGTAAAAACAGCCCAAGTCTTGGCTGTACCCTCAGGAAAAATCCTATCCCTAGTGGCTTTCCACGAATCGTTTGCATTATCCTGCAGCTGATAGACTGCTAAAGTCACCCTCTCATGATCATTACACTCCAGCACCTCAAAAGCCTTCTCCAGTTCCTCTACCCACCGAGGTGCAGCCTCCGGGTCACCTTTCCCAGAAAACTTGGGTGGTTTCAACTTTATAAATTGTTCTACCAGCTGGTGCATAGGTCTATTCGCAACCACTTGCCCTTGACCTTGGTTCTCGTTATTATCAGCAACAGCAACAGCCTCGGCAGCTTGGGCAATCGGAGTAGCTCGCGCCTGAGTCTGCTGTTCTATTATATCACCAATCCGTTCCAACGTTCTCATTACAGCTTCCATTCTCGGGTCCACAACAGGTCTAACTTCTATTCTAGGGTTTGCTGCTACTCCAGCATCAACTCCTAAATTTTCCATCGCTCCAGCACCCATTCCAAGATCCTCTACGGCACTAGCTCGAGCGCGTCCTCTACCACTGGATCCTCTACCAGCGCCCCTTCTTGGGACTCTTCCTACTACTCTTCCTTCGCTGCTCATCGTCACGATTCTACCACTCTACTACCTGCTGTAATTCCACTCAGGAATTAACGGTCTAAACCAACTAGCTCAATCAAATTCTAAGCAGCGAATTAACACGAAAGCTCGCTCAGCAAGCATTTCCCCACTACCCATCACGAAATCACAATCACCAAAGTCTGAACACTTACCTCAGGTCCAGACGCACCTGCAATTCAATTACCACACACAATTGACTTACGAAAACAATCACAACAACCAATCTGGAGGCACGTGTAGCTCACTCTAGCCTACACCCCACTAAGATCTCCCCAATTACTACCCCAAGGTTTCCGCTCCTTATCACTCTAAGTTTCGACCAATTCTAGATCGAGCTGACCTTGCTCTGATACCAATTCAAACGGGGATGTCACGCCCCGAAACTCCTGTCGAGCCCGCGACTTCCCGCTTCAGGTCGAACGGTTGCGACGTCCCAGGTTATCGCCGACCTCAACTAAACATCAGAGATTTAATCGCGCAAACCGAAACCATAAAACACTCGGACAAACTTAAACTGGGGAGAATTGGGAGAATATACATTTCCATTTCTTGTTCAACTTGTTCCACCATATATACAATAAAACAAACCTCGACTACCAAGTGCACACTTTTCTGAAACTACCAAAATCAAAAAGGAGTCGATGACCTGACGTTCAACCTAAAAACGGTTCTCATCCAAAGCCAAGATTTCCCACTTCTACAAACACGGTCGTCGTGTGTCTTATCCAGGTCATCCCGTCACCCATCGGAAACTCAGCTACCTCATACTCCGTATGCACCGGTACTCCAAAACGCATCGGGTGGCGGTGGTGGAGGGTTCATCGCTCAGTCGGGGTTCGAAAATTGTTGGTTTACACAACCATGAGATTACATCTCAGCAAGTTCACCCCTAAACCCAACCTAGGCTATCACGTACCTCCAGACAATCACACAGACACACGTGCATTCGTACACATCAAGTCATCACATCGCAGGCACCTCAAATAATATAGTCAGACTCAAACATTCGTATACCCGTACTCAATCACAATCACGCCGTATGCAACACACGCATGTACCAACTCTCATTCTACTATTCCTTCCTTTCTCATTTCCTTTTTCTCATTCCTCGTCAGTGACCCGCGTTGAAGTACACGCCTCAGGCACACTGCGATCATTCACCACATCCGACCCGCTTACCCGTTCACGCCTCAGGCCCCAATCGCGACCTGAGCATCACACACCCCAGGCCTAATCCCAACTCAGACCGCGCCAAATGCGACAGGCCTACATGATTGAAACCCGAGCTTAAGATGCCTCGGTCCAATCCCAGTGTCACCCAAGCTGATCGTGCCTCGGACCGATTCTCATACTTGCTTTTTCCAGCTTCAGCTTGTGCCAAATGCATCAGACCTACATGATCGTTGCCCGAGTTTACGATACCCGGCCCGATCCCATTCTCGCACTACCACACCTTCGCATACTTTCCCACAATCACTTGTCACACCACAACTTCTCCTTACTCATGCACATACTCGATATGCATTTACCACATGCAACTAGCCCATCACACGCGATCCGTGCACGCATCGAGTCACACGTGCAGATGCAGCTCACTCAACAATTCACATGGCCAATATCAACAATTAATTCGATCCGGCCCACGCGTGCACCAAACAGACATATGTCCACTATATAAACACATAAATAAGCACTCAATTAAATCAACCCCATCCAGAATAATTCAAACATGCCTAAAACACGTAAATTGCCAATTTTCTCCAATCAAATGGCGTCGGATTAATTCCGATCCTTCACGACACTTTCTCGCCATTAAATAATGGTTCTAAAAATCCAACTTGCGTCCCGAACAAATCATCATAGCCCCGTGAACAGTAAATCACAGCCACTGTTATTTTCTAATTTCCAATAAATAATGCCCGAATTAAATCCCAAGGCCCGCCATAAAATTTCTACTCCCAATTCATGCCATTCCGCACCTAGTTTTATACAGATTTCGCCCAAAAATCGCCCGTTGATACCCGAAGTCCTAAGTTGGGTTTAGAGCGCGACTTACCCGCGTTCTAGACTATCGCGGCTAGAACGGAAAGCGGCGGCACTTAATCGGGAACGGCGGCGACGACGTACGGTTCCCGGGTGGCGGCGATCGGCTTGGGTGGCGACGGCGCGGCTTACTTGGCCATGGGTCTTGCCTCACGTGAAAGAGAGAGACAGGGAGAGAAAGAGAGAGACGGCGGCTGGTGGTGGTGGCTTGAGGGCTGGTACGGCGGCTTGAGGGCGGCCCGGACGGTGGTGGCGAGCGGCGGTGCCGGCGGTGGGCTTCCCGATGGACGGCAAGGAGTTCACGGAGGAGGGGGAAGGATTTCACGGCAAAAGGGGGGGGCTGATCGGTGAAGATGAAGAAGAGAATGGAGGGAGAGAAGACATTCTTGACTCAAATAGTGACCATTGACCCAAGGGGAAAATGACCATATTACCCTTTCCTCATATTTTTAATCCGACGGTCCCGATTCGATCTTATCTTGATCCGACGGCCGAGATCGATTCTTGCACAAAAATATCCATGGGCATACTTGTAATTTCCCAAAAAGTCCAAGGGTAAAATTGTCCAATCAAAATTTTAGGGAAAAATTACCAAAATGCCCTTTACCCTTAAAGCTTGCCCTTTAATAAACCCTAGGGGTATTTTGGTCACTTCCTCTGTTTCTTGTCCAAATCGAATTTTTCCGGAGGAATTGAGCGCACCAAAAATTCATACGTGTCACGTGCAACGTCGTCCTAACGTTCCGGCGTGACTTCCTAATTTTCCGGTGTCCAATTTGGGCAAAAATTCAATAATTAAAATCTATTAAACGCAACTCGAGCGTTTCTCGAGCTAACGGGCGGCTTGCTTGGGAAATTCGCGAAATCGACTCATGACTGATACTAAATCGAGTCATGTGCAAGTCCGTTCGGTGCGTGACGACCTCGGTTGTCATTAAAATCGCGAAGATCAATCACTTGATCCGAGGGGTACGATCGTTCAGTATAATTTCAGAATCATTCGTCAAGTCGTTTCGTGGTCCAACGGAATCACCCGCGATCCACTACTAGGACAGTGGCGAACTGACCCCTAACTATCCTTGGATCGACCAACAGTCGCTCAAAATATCACTTTCGCGATTTAATGGTCGAAATCCATTCACGATCGAATTTCCTTTAGTCGGGGGAATTTAATTCCCCTATTAGCCTTTCCCTAATGGTTAGCATTCCCAGGAATGATCAGCTCCGGGCGAGAATTTACTGCGAGCACATCTCATAAAACTTATTTATTCAATAAATTCCAATTGGTGGAATTTCGGAATGTAACAAATGAAATGTGAAAATATGTGGCAATAAGCAAAGTCGTGGCACAAATTTATAATGTAGTGCAGAAGAGGAAGAATTCATCCGATTTTGGTCTAGGAAAAATTGAAAAAGATCTAACACGTACAAGGAACAACTTAAACTGGGTAATGAAAGGATTAAATATCTCAGTTCTGTTGTGCTTAACGGGTCCACAACAAAGGATTCTGAAAAGTCACCCATCTTGGTAACCTCCAAGTCTTGCTCATTAATAAGGTGATTGACAAAATTATCTCCTCAACAGTGAGAAAAGTCACACGTGGGTGCTTAAAATGGTGTCCTCTACTTGTCAAACCTTTGATATTTCTATCAGCAAGGAAACATCCCAGGCAGATACTAAGATGTAACAGAGCTGGAAATTATGCGTACAGAAGATGAAAATTCTTCCCTTCTTTAACGATAATAACAATATTAAAGGGACTCAGCTCCTGTCACCTTTCTCCAGAGGTTTAGGTCCATGCACATACAAACCGTGAAAATCATGTCATACTCGGCGTTTCAAATTCTTTTGCTTCTGGTTTACCTCATGGTACAAGCATCAGGAGCCACACCGGGACTTGCAAGGCCTAACTGTGCTGAAACGTGCGGGAATGTCACCATTCCCTTCCCCTTCGGAATAGGAACAGAGTGCTTCTTGGGTGACTGGTACGAGATTGTCTGCCAGCAAAACAACACGGTTCCCATACTAAAGAAGATCGGATTATGAGTTCTCAACATTTCACTCCCCTATTATCGTGGATATATGAACAGCGTGATTTGGGTCAGTCTTCCATTAATTTACTCAAATGCAAGCAGTGGGGGCGAAGGACTTGGCGTGCCAGTGAGCTTAGAAGGAAGTCAATTTGTCTTCTCCCAGACATGGAACGTCTTTATGTCCGTCCGTTGCAACACCCTGGCAACAGTGAATAGTACAGAATCTGCTGTTGTTGGTTGCAGGTCGAAATGTGATGGAACCAACACCAACATTAGCCGGTATAGTGCTTGTGTCAGGAGGGACCGATGTTGCCAGACTACACTCCTCTTTAACCTTCAGGGCTTTAGTGTGGATTTCAAAGAAGAAGGTGGACCTCAGGGATGCAAGTACGCTTTCCTGGCAAATAGCTCATGGTTCATGAGGTCTAACGTTACAGGTCTATATGATTTGAGTTTGAATGATAGGGTTCCAGTGGTGTTGGAATGGGGGATTTCAAACGATACCAACTACAAACTTGATCTTATCCTGCAAGGCTATGGCTCAGGCTATCTTGATCCCTTCAGATGCAGCAGGTACTGACGCAGCGTTCAGCGAAAAATTTAAGCAAAACCTTGCTTAGAGAAAGAAATCTCGAAATTCAATATTGATGATAATGTTCTGTCTTTAAAAAGAACCCTAAAACAAGCTTATATATCCCTAAACCAAACCCTACTAGGATTAGAAAACATAAAACATCAAAATTACAAAACTGCCCTTAAAATTAAAACCCATAAAAAATTATTAAAAAATAAAAAAACCCATGTAAACGATCCCGAATCGCTAAAATCCATCGTTAGTCACAGCCAAAGGCGGTGAGTTTTGTTCAGAACGCCGTTTCGCTTAAAACGACCGAATTTGAGCCCAATCCGATGTCGTCAACCGGGTCCGCCGGTTCTAGTCGCATCACCGTTTCGCCTTCCGTTTGGACTTCTGCCTGTCCAACCGATCCAGAAACGTACCACTAATATATTCTGCATCATTCTCCTCCACTTGAAAAGAATTCGTCCTCGAGTTGAAATCAGAATCTGGATATAATGGCTCTGTGGACTCATGAAACGGTGACAAATCAGCAACATTAAAAGTGTTGGATAATGCCCATACTATGTGGAAGGTCTATAACATAAGCATTATCGTTGATCTTCTTGCTGACAACGTAAGGTCAATACTTCTTTGGCTGCAATTTATTGTAAAATCCCGCTGGTAATCGCTCTTTACGAAGAAAAACCATGACTTGATCACCTACCGCAAACACCAGCTTCCGCCTGTGTTTATCTGCTGCAACTTTATACTTCTGATTAGCTTCCTCTAGCTTCTGTTTGACTTTATGATGCACTTCCACAATCTGTTTAGCCATATGATCCGCTGCTACACTTTTATCCGCTTGCTTAGGCAACTGTACCAAGTCCAGAGTATGCTGAGGCGCCTTTGTATAAACAACAGAAAAAGACGACCTGCCAATAGAACTATGAACTGCATTATTATAAGCAAACTCTGCTTGTGATAAAGCAACATCGCATTGCTTCGGCTTATCTCCACAAATGCTACGAATCAAGTTTCCCATAGTTCTATTAACCACCTTTGTTTGCCCATCAGTCTACGGGTGAGCAGTGCTATTGAAATTCAAAGATGAATCAAACAGTTTCCATAAAGTCCGCCAAAAATGCCCTAGAAATTTACTATCCCTATCTGAGGTAATAGACTTGGGCACACCATGCAAACGAACCACTTCCTTAAAGAATAATATGGCCACACTTACTGCATCAGAAGTCTTCCTACAAGGAATGAAGTGCGTCATCTTGGAAAATCTGTCAACCACAACGAAAATAGAATCCACGCCTCTTTGCGTCCGTGGTAAACTAAGCACAAAATCCATGGACAGATCTTCCCATATATTGTCAGAAACAGGTAATGGCATATACAGACCTATATTCCTAGATTTCCCCTTAGCAGTCTGGCAAACATAACACTTTTGTACGTACCTGCTGACATCTCTATGCAACTGGGACCAGTAAAATCGCTCCCGGACTACAGCAATAGTTTTATCACGACCCAAGTGTGCAGCTAATCCACCATCATGTAAATTACGAATTACCTTCTCTCGTAATGATGTTTGAGGAAGGCAAAGCTGGTTGCTACGCATCAAATAGCCATCCTGCACATAAAATTCTTGCACAGGTTGATTAGCAGTACATGACTTCCAAATTTGCCCAAAGTCATCATCATCTGCATAATAGTCTTTAGCTGCTTGAACCCCAAGATGTCTTGGCTTAATGTAATCAACAAGCCAGCTCTCCTACTCAATGCATCTGCTACGACATTATGCACACCTGATTTGTGCTGTAATCTGAAAGGAAATTTTTGCAAAAATTGACACCATCACGCATACATATATTTGCTAATCCTCTTCTGACTATTTAGATACTTCAAAGCTACATAAACAGAATAAAGGACGAATTCTTTCCCAATCAGATAATGCTCCTAGGTCTTCAAAGCCCTTACGACAGAATAGAATTCTTTATCATAAGTGCTCCATTTCTGCCGTGCATCACTGAGCTTCTCACTAAAATAACAAATTGGTCTGCGCTCTTGAGATAAAACATCTCCTATACCCACTCCACTGGCATCACAGTCCACTTCAAACAGTTTATCAAAATCAGGTAAAGCAAGAACAGGTGCAGTACATAACTTCTCCTTCAAAATAGCAAAACTATTTTCAGCTTCCTCTCCCCATAGAAATTTGCCTTTCTTCATACATTCAGTAATTGGGGCTGCGATAGTACTAAAATTCTTAATAAATCGCCAATAAAAAGTAGCTAACCCATGAAAACTCCTAACGTCAGAAACTGTTTTAGGAGTCGGCCACTCTTTGATTGCTCTTACATTCCCCTCATCTACCTCTATTCCTTCAGCAGTAATAATAAACCCCAAGAATAACAGCTTATTAGTTAAAAACTGCACTTCTTAAGATTAATATGCAGCTTATTAATCTACAAAGCTGTCAACACCTCCCTTAAGTGCATCAGATGATCCTTCTCAATCTTACTATAAATCAGGATATCATCAAAATAAACGACAACAAATTTGCCAATAAAAGATTTCAGAACCTGATTCATAAGCCTCATGAAAGTGCTTGAAGCATTGGAAAGTCCGAAAGGCATCACCAACCATTCGTACAACCCCTCATTTGTTTTGAAAGCTGTCTTCCACTCATCTCCGGGCCGAATACGAATCTGATGGTATCCATTCTTCAAATCCAGCTTCGAAAACCACTTAGCATCGTGCAACCTATCCAGCATGTCATCCAATCTCGGAATTGAAAACTTGTAACCCACGGTTATTTCATTAATGGCCCTGCTATCTACACACATCCGCCAACTCCCATTTTTCTTAGGAGTCAACAAGGCCGGAACAGCATATGGGCTCATGCTATTCTGAATGTGCCCCTTTCACCCCTTTCACAATAACTCATCCACCTTCTCTTTTAGAATCTCGCTTTCTTTAGGACTCATCCTGAAGTGCGATAAATTAGGCAGACTAGCACCAGGAATTAAGTCTATATGGTGCTGAATATCGCGTATAGGCGGCAACCTATCTGGAATCTCTTCAGGCATCAGTTCGCTAAATTCCTTCAATAAAGGCCTGACTGCTTCATGCTGCTCCTCCACTTGTAATTCAGCATCAGTCTCAATTGCTTGTTTCACGACCAGCACGTGAATATGTAGGATTTCGTTAGCCTCAATTTCAAATTTCCTTGTAAGGGTAAGGAAATTATTTTCAACTGCTTATTTTCCTTTATTCTTCAATGGCAGCAACGTGTACTTCACTCCATCCTTCACGAGGTGATTGCTCCTTCCCGAATGCTGCACATCTACATCAAATTGCCACGACCTCCCAAACAACACGTGACATACATCCATGTCTACCACATCACAATACAGTTCATCATGATATTTTCCAATGGAGAATGGAATTTTACATTGCTCAGTCACCTGAATGCTTTCCGCTCCATATTTAATCCACCCTAACGTATAGGGATTAGGATGTTTCTCCATGGGTATTTCCAACTTCTTCACTGCCTCCTTCCCAATGATATTCTCCATGCTTCCACTATCAATAGCCACAGCAAAGGTCTTTTCCAGAATGGTGCACCTGGTTCGGAATAACTGATGGCGCTGCGAATCATTTTCCTGTTTTGGGGCCAACATCATCCTGCGCACCACATAGTTTACTTGCTCCTCTTCTTCATCTTCAAAATCATCGTCCTCACCATCCGGCGCACAGCAATATCCATCCTCCTCCTCTTCTCTCGATGCTACGTTTACGGTCTTTCTTTAAGGGCATTCATAGATCGGTGCCCAAGCTGATTACACCTGTAACACTTTATCGCGGCTGGTTTAGCATAAGGGTTAGGGTTCGCAGTTTTTTGTACTTGCGTTCCTTTATCCCTCGGTTCGTTCATAGGGCGCTTTTCTACCGCCTGATCTTCCTAATTTCGCTTTGCGTTAAAGCGATTATTGAAACTGCTCTTCTCTACCGAACTGCTCGAAATGCTTCCTTGATAATTTTCGTAGCTTCTTCTTCCCCTGTCTTGCTGCATCAATTCTGCCTTCATCGCCATATTCTTGGCTTCAGTTAAATTTTGCAGAAACTGCACTCCAATTTTATCTCAAATGAAGGGTTTCAAATTATCAAGATATCTGGCCACCTGCTGTCCCTTCGTCTCTAATAAATTATTCCGCTCCGCCAATCTCATAAATTCGGCCGTATACTCATGCACAGTTCGATTGCCCTGCTGGCAATGTTGGTACTGCTGGAACATATTCTGTTCATAGTCGGGTGGAAGGAATTCCTGCTTTAACAGTCTCCTCATCCTAGTCCAAGTTCGAACTCTATCTTTCCTTTCTCGCTCCCTCTTATTTTGCAATCTCTCCCACCATGCAGACGCACCCTCTTTAATCTACAGGCTACTAATCACACCCTTTTCTCACCAGGGGTCTCCATATAGTCGAAAAATCTATCTATATCAGCAAGCCAATCCAGAAATTCTTCTATGCCCAGACTTCCATTAAAATAAGGAATATCGACTTTCAATTTAAAGTCGTTACCTTCACGATCATCGTAACGTCGTCTTCCATCTCTCCTATCATATCCTCTTTGAAATCCTCCATGACGATGTCTGCCGCCATAATCAACATGTTCCTCATCAAAATAATCGTTTTCTTCTTCTGCCGAACTCTCTGAAAACATAGGGTTATTCAACCTGCGGACAGGAATAGGCCTATCAACAGGATCACTGCGAGCAAGATCTGCACCCGGTCTTCTGCCGTTTCGCCGATTCCGGTTCACATCAACGCCGAGACCTTTGAATCGTTTTGTTAACTCGTCAAATCGTTCTTCGAAATGACAAAGACTTTGATCGAATCGTTGATCCAAGCGTTCCATTAAACGCTGCTCCAAACGTTGCAGCGCGTCGTCCCCAAGGGTTGGGGCTCCAGTCTCCTGAGCATCGTCACGAAGACCACTGCCAGTCGCCATAGGCTTTGATACCACTTGACGCAGCGTTCAGCGAAAAATTCAAGCAAAACCTTGCTTAGAGAAAGAAATCTCGAAATTCAATATTGATGATAATGTTTTGTCTTTAAAAAGAACCCTAAAACAAGCTTATATATCCCTAAACTGTAACATCCTGAATTTTAACCCGTTATCGGGACCAATGAAGTATATGATAATGCTCGTTTGATTTTAGTAAGTCGCGCTCTAAACACAATTTTGGACTTCGGGTATCGACGGGCGATTTTGGGCGAAATCTGTATAAAGTTAGGTGCGGAATTGTATGATTTGGTAGTGGAAATTTTATGGCGGGCCTTGGGATTTAATTTGGGCATTAATTATTGGAAATTAGAAAATAACAGTGGCTGTGATCTATTGTTCATGGGGTCGTGATGGGCCGATCGGGACGCAAGTTGGGTTTTTAGAATCGGTATTTTATGGTGAGAAAGTTCCGTGAGGGATCGGAATTAATCCGACGCCGTTTGGTGGGAGAAAAATAAGAATTTACGGTTTTACCCCTCAAAATTTCCGGACTGATTTTTGATGGCTTAAAGAATGATTTTTTTTAAGGATCCGACACCGTATTATGCTGGCCATGCATATATAGGACCGGTATGGACAAAAATTGGAATTTTGGTTCGGGATCGAAAAATTACGAAAATGCCCCTAGGCCATTTTTGGACAATTCCGAATTTGGTTAATTTTTGGAGTTTAACCAAGGTGAGTTTGACTTAATCCAGGTCTGGTCAGCCTTGGGCTAGTGACAAAGGACCATTTTACCCCTAAATTATTGGATGAGAAGGAAAGATAGCCATTGGATCAAGGGCAAAATTGTCCAATTGGCCTAGATTGAGACACATGGATTCCACTCACACCAAGCTTGACCACATTCGACTGCACCTCTCTCTTTCCCGATGATCATTCGGCCATTTCCTCGAAATTTTCTCCCTTTTCCCCGTTTCATTTTCTGCCGTGCACGTTCTGCTCTTCCTGGCACTGTTCATGCCGGAACAGTGTCACCGCCGGAGCTGCTGGCCGCCTACCACCACACGCCACCACCTGTCATCATCTCAGCCCCCCTCGACCTTTCTTTCTCCCCTAAATCGCCACCCACAGCAGCTGTCCAGGCGGAACAGTGAGGGCCACCGCCGGTCTTCATCACCGCCGGACGCCGGGAGGCCTCGCCGGACGCCGCCGTGCCGTACCCCGAGCACCACCACCCCCAGCCATCATTCTCTCACCTGAACCGCCACCCTCAGCCCGGTTCCCCAGCCCCAAACAGAAGAAGACCAGCAGCAAATCGTCGTTCCCGTCGTCGCCGTGACCGCCGACTTGCACCCGGAACGCCGCCGTCG